CTATTTTTTATGATATATTTTTATATTTCAACCCCCCTAATAAAAAATGTAAAAAATTTTGAACAACACTGCTCTAGGCAGTCTCTTTTCCCCCCATCTCCCAAGGTCATTCCCACATACCATTATAGGTGGTCCCCCAAATATTCTGGCCCCATGCAGGGGGGGGGGCTTCAGAGATGACAACCGGCACTTGAATTGCACCCGGAAGTCTACTGGGAACCAGGGCAGCTCATGGCACGGTGGTGTTATGTGAATGTATTGAGGTATGCCCATACCTGCCTACCCACTTATCTATTTTAAAAATCAGCCGAGTTACAGTTATTACATTACATAGGCTTTGAGAATAAAACTGGAATATGTTCTGCCATTTGTTTTTTTGCAGTCTGCCACAAAATAACACCAAATAACCATGCAGGTTCTGGTTTCTGAGCAGTTGGCAATCCTAATTTTATTGGGTAGGGCTGGACGGGTGCGGTGTTAAATGAGGAAGTTCACAGATGAAGCAAACAAGGCCTGTGGGAAGTCTAGACACGAACTTCATTTCCCCAGACCCACCTGGAGCTTTTCGATATAGTTTTTACTGTACTTGGACTGTCTTCCCACAATAGGTGCAAGCAGGAAGTGGATGAACTGAAGAAATCTTAAATTGCCATTTAAAGTTCAAAGCAGGTTTCTATGTATTTGTTTCCCTGGGCCACTAGACCCAACCCAAAATCTTGAGAAGATGCAGGAACTAATTGAAACAGTGCAAGCACATTTTCTCCCAGAGCGGTGTATAAACTCCGCATGCCAAATAAGGGAGAACAATGCCAAATGCGTCTGGTAAATTAACTGTAATTTGTTCTGTTTATCACTGGGAAGGATTCAAGCCATGCGTGTCAGAATTGTGCTGCAGCCCACGCTTCCCAAAAGAATGGTACAACCAGAACGATATTTAAATTTATTTTCATGTTCCTTTTGTTGGAATATGATTCATCTCTGGTTTTGCATGTAATCCCTTTGCCCTTCTGTCAAGGCAGACATTCAACTGGGATAAAACTTTTGGAGGTCTCACAGACATTTGGGGGCCATGTTCCGCCCTGAGGGCATCTCTCTTCGACCCAGCTTGGCGCTGCTCATCCACGTCTCAGGCTGTGATCCTTTAACTTGAGGGTGGGTCATTTGGTCTGCAAACTACAAGCCTCTAACTCTGAATGTCGATGGTACAGTATAACTGGGAAAGGGCCCTAACCCACGGTAAATTAGCTTCTGCTGAAACAGACGTGACGTGCACCTTTATGTGAAGCGATAAACAAATATATGAAATAATGATTAAAAGAGCTATAATTGGTTGTCTAAGCCGCAGTTCAAGAACCCCATCAATCATGATAGGGTTGGCTTGCTTTTGGCTTTAAGGGGTTAAGTGTCTCCAGGTAATGGTAGCATAATAAATCAGAGTTAATTATGGCTTAGTAAGATATGTGAATTAGAGCAATATCACCTTGGGTAAAACATATACGTTTTAAATCCAGCTTGACTCTCAGTGACTTTGGGAATACAGCCATGTCATTCATTTGCCACTGCCTTCTTCAGGGATGTTGTTTTGCTTTCCCAATTTACATGAAATTTCCTAGTGGACTCCCATCCAAATAATAATCAGGTCCAACCTTATGTAGCTTTTGGAGAGCAGCCAGAGTCAGTCAGGTGCTGTCACTCAGGTGAACTCAGAGGGAGATACTCCGAACTGATTTCTGGTGACTTCCTGCACACAACAATGCAGTTTTCTGCTTGTATTGACTTCTTAGAAGCAAGTCAGTGTAGTAAATTACATGTACCCATTCCCATTGCAGCAGAAGGAAAAAAAAGAGAGAAGAAACTGTCCATTCTACTAAAATAGTTTTATTACTATCCCCTATAAATTTATTTTTTGCTCTATCTATCTATCTATGAAGAATTAGAAGACTATATATAAATAAAAATATTTTAGCCAGGAACATACGTCCTAGAGGAAAGAAACTTCACAACTGGAATTCTAACTGGAAAAGGGAAAGGGGAAAAATTCCCAGTGCTGAAAGTCATGAAGAAATGTATAAAGAGCATAACATATATTAAACACTAAAACAAGAGAGAAAGCAATGGTGTAAAATCTCCCCAACAGATGACACAATCATATGTGAGAACTCAATATTAAAAGGGGACGAAGTGCTATTGAGAAAGAAACAGTATCAGTGAATGGACAATAAACTGTCCAAGTCTTTCAACGCTGAAGACAAGTTTCTTAATATTCAGTATTATATAGAGCAGCACTTCTCAACCTCAACCATTTTAAGATGTGTGGACTTCAACTCCCACAATTCCCCAGCCAGCAGGCTGGGAAATTCCCCAAGCTGGCTGGGGAATTCTGGGAGTTGAAGTCCACACATTTTAAAGTGGTTGAAGTTGAAAATACTGATTCAGAGGGAAGAATGGACGTTGCTTCAGGAAACCCAAACTTAAGCAAACTGCTAACTCAGTCACCTTAGCAGTCTGGGTTTGCTCTGTATTTTAAAAGTCCACTGAATCACACTTCCCACTGGATTCTACACCCAAGTGCACAGCCGCACTTCTCTTTTCCACATTCAGAGGACAAAGTGGCTGCTGGGAGGAAGGATAAAATTCTGCCTTCCAAATGGTGACCATCACTCCTCTCTCCTTTCCTGGCCTTGCCAAGGAGATAGATGCGATTAGCCCGGATCAGCTGTCCAGTCTACAATCTGATCCCCCATCCTGCCTATGGGATTATGGGAGTTATAGTTTCAGAGAAAACTATATTTTCTATATTTGGAGAAGCTGGTCAGTTTTACAGTCATGAAGGGTGCAACGGAAAACCTTGTGCTGTGAGAACATATCATGCCATTTCTTCAGGGTTCTCACTAAGTAGAGAAGAGATACCTTCTCCCCACCTGGAACATATTAATAAACTAGGACAATACACTGTTTGGTTTGCCCACCATGCAAGGTTAGTCTCTGGCTTCAGAGTTGTTTTCGCACAACTATAAGATTTATATTGTTTCAATGGCATATATATATAGATTCTTAATTGGAAGTACAAGGTACTTATTAGAATTCTTGTGCTGTTACTTTTTTCCCTAATATTACTAATCTGAGGAGATGGTTTTCTTTGGCTTATTCACTTTCAGTCTGGTTTGTTGTAAGACATGTTAACAGTTGGGCGAACCACAGCCAGGAATTCTGCTTATGGTTCAATGGCTGCAACACCCTTAACCTGGTTACTAAATTAACCCATTTTCTTGGTCAGCACATGAAATCAAACCATAAGCTAACCCAACAGGCTGGATTTGCACAACAGGGTAAGATACAAACAAACTAGGTTAAAACTAACCAAGTTCAGTATATTGTCTGACAGTAACTACTAGATTTACAAGTGTCCCGATGGTTAAAGATGCTGTGTGTGATACTTTGTGTGAACTCAAGGAAACGGATGAATTCATCCAACCCATGCTTCAGTTAAACATGGGGTAGCGTGTGGTGCCCTCCACATTTCTAGCTCTGGAGCAGTCAATATGGAGGGAGGAGCATTTTCAGACAGGGTACTTCTTAGCCAACAGGACCATGTCCTTTTCACATCGGTTGACCCAGTCTCGGAAGAGGTGGCAAATGTAGTAGCCTGTGAGTTTCATAATGAAGGCGTTGTCAGACTCTGAAGGCTTAGCTGATATAGCTGGACCTGGCATGATGCCCAGGGAAGACATGATGGATTTAAGGTTATTTTCCAGACCCAGGCAGTGCAGATGCGAAGATTCGAGCTGACGATGTAATTCGGTTTCCGGTGAATTCAGTTCCATCTGCTGGCGTTTCACACTGGCCAAGTACACTGGCAAACTGGAGAAGGCCAAGGTATTCTGCTGGAGACGCTGAGAGTCCGTGAGGCCCAACCAGTCTGCCATAGAAAGGGCTGGCAGTGGAAGCCCTGGAAACGGCTGAATGGTTGGGTTGAAATCAGGATTTCCAAAAGGCTTCCCCTGGAGAAGCACCTAAAACCAGAGAGAAGCCAGACCATCAGTTCCTTGGAAGCTGGATTCTTGGATCTTGAGAAAGCGATGGACGCCTTTTCGTTATGACCAAATTATCCCACCCTTTCTCCAAGGACCACTGAGTGGGTGGGGGTCAGTGAATGAGGCTCTTGCATCGACTCTTCTTAACCCATTTTATTAAACAGATTTAGGTTTGGCTGAGACACTGGAATTGGCCCATGGTCACCCAGTGAGTTTGGGGGGTGGGATCTCCAAAAAATCGGGATCTCCAAAAGGCTTCCCCTGGTGAGGCACCTAAAACCAGAGAGAAGCCAGACCATCAGTTCCTTGGACGCTGGATTCTTGGATCTTGAGAAAGCGATGGACGCCTTCTTGTTATGACCAAATTATCCCACCCTTTCTCCAAGGACCACTGAGTGGGTGGGGGTCAGTGAATGAGGCTTTGCATTGACTCTTCTCAACCCATTTCATTAAACAGTTTTAGGTTTGGCTGAGGTACTGGAATTGGCCCATGGTCACCCAGTGAATTTGGGGCTGGGAGGTGGGGTGAGAGGGAAATACAATCCAATAGACTATACATCTTTGTCTGAGATGCTGAAAAACAAGAGATATTAAAAAGCTAGCTCCATGTATCTACTATAGTACTACAACTTTTACTCGGCAGTGTCCGCATTTGCTCTGAGAAAAATGCCCAGATCCTTCATTCAGGTGATTCAAGCCATTATCGTTCTGCATGGACCAAAGTCCCATGTTCTCTTCTAGCCTAGCAGCATTGCAAATGAAATAAAATACATTGCCCCCTCCGCAGACAAGAGGCCCCCACCCTCCATTAAGCTGTTCCACTTATATTCAGGACTCACATAGTTTGACAGCAGCTGTCCTGAGCTGACCTGCATGTTGAGTGTCAGATTGTGCGTCCTTTCAATCTCAAGGGCTATTTCCTGTCGGGAGCGAGAGCACCCAGAGCAAGCCGGTAAATCTGCTGCAGACAGAAGTGGGTGGAATGTTAGATTCGAGACCTAGTGGCTGGACATTCAAATACCTGTATGAATAACACCACACAAGTTATCCTGCTTTCCTTGCAGGCAACAGAACCTAGAAGAT